CAGCAGCTGGGGATTCAGTATGGCGTTGATCTGCTCCTGTGACCAGCTGGCTGGGTTGAGTGGACCAGCGATAGGAATGTCCGGAACGAAGGGCGGGAGGAAAGAGCCGGCCGGGATTTCAATTTCGCGGAAGCCGTGCACCAGCGGAGCCGGGAATCCAGCCGCCTGCATCCTCCTTGCAAATGTTTGCATGGACGGCGTTATGTTCCGGGTGAACTCACGTGTTTGACCTTGAAGCTCGTTCCAGAAATCAGTCAAAGCAGATTTAGCTTCCATGGGGTTCAAGATGCCAAGAAGGGAGCTCAGCGACGCCTGGGAGTGACTGTCTTCGCTGTCTGGTGGTTGGCTGCCTTGGCTGCCTTGGCTGTCTGCGTTTTCGCCGTCTGCGTTTTCGAATAAGTCAATCAACTGGGTGGCCCCGGCGTCGTTAGAGACCTCGGATCGGCTTCTCTGGCTGATGTTGTCTTCCCTGTCGCCGACGGGCCCTTCAGAGGCAGCCGCCACGCCAAGCAAGACGAGCAGTGTAAGCTTCAGGCTCCTCATATCCGTTCAAACACTTGTCGCTGTTTTCGTCCGGGATGAACGCGTGTGCTATCGCGCGCGTGTTTGTACGATACCGGTGCGCATGTTTGTACAATAGCGTTGAACAAAGGTACCGCAGTTCATGAATCGACAGGACTGATGGCTTCAACAAGATTGGTAGATTCACCGAAACGATAGGCATAAGGTGGACAGAATGGGTGAAGAAATTCAGACAAGTAGTTAGTTGGCAGATGATGGGTGAAAGGGGGGTTGGACTACTTGCGGAAAATGCTAGCATCGAAGACAAGCATGCCTGGACCACTCACCCGGGGAGGAAATACATGAGTAAACTTTACAGAAGAATGTCCTAAGAGGAGCCGGTCCAACTAGAGCTGAAGGGATTGAGCTGAAGGGATTGAGTTAGCAGACAAATAGTAATCCTCCTAAGTGGGGCGTTTGGCGAAAGGATTTTTCTCTAAGGCAGTGCAGAGCTGCTTACAAAAAGATGTTGTTGCGGCGGCTCGGATCAGGAGCACCGATCTGCTGGAATCGAAGATATATTGCGGTGGAGTACGCTTGGCTGTAGAAACCTTATGCAGGACCGTCCGCCCCTGTAGAAGGAACACATGAATCGCGATCTATCATTGAAACGAGGTCGGACTAGACTGAGTCGTAGCGGTCACGGACTCTCTAGCAGGAGAAGTCAGCCTAGCAGCGCGGCGATTGTGTTGGCAGCAGTGTTTGGGTTCATTAAGTTCAACAGCTGGGGATTCAGTATGGCGTTGATCTGCTCCTGTGACCAAGTGGCTGGGTTGAGTGGACCAGCGATAGGAATGTCCGGAACGAAGGGCGGGAGGAAAGAGCCGGCCGGGATTTCAATTTCCCGGAAGCCGTGCACCAGCGGAGCCGGGAATCCAGCCGCCTGCATCCTCCTTGCAAATGTTT